AATTTTTCAACAAATACAGAAATAGTGATATTCCCTTTGTTCTTTTCTGCTGCTTGTCCCAGTCCTTGCATTCATTCTTGTTAATCGGTCCAGTACCTTTCCAAATCTTTGTTTTTAATGCAACATGGCTTGGTTTTGTTTTTGATGTGTGAGTTTTTACATTGCACTTTATATATTATTTCACAACTTTTAAAAAAATACTCAGTTAACAATGTTTGTGGGGAAATCCTTTCATGATACTAATTATACATCTGCATAGATGCATTTCTCCAAGATAGACATCTAGAAGTGAAACTGCTAGATTAAAGGATAGGTACATGCTTATTTAAAATTTCTAATTTCAGGTTATCGTCTAAGAAACTGTACTCGGTTGTGTTCCCACCGGTGTGTCACAGTACCCCTTTTTCCAGGGGCTCTTTGCCAGTAGCAATTGTCAGTGTTCTTTATTTCTGCAAATGCACATTATCTTTTAAAAAAATTAACCAAACATTCTGCTTTGAATTTACAGAAACCTAATTGCTATTATTCCTTTTTTCCTAAAGCTTACATAGGAAAAAATTATACCAATAAATATGACTTACTTGTAATCATTCATGTGCTGAATGAAACTGAAGAAGTTAGTAACACATCTAAAAGTTAGAAAGCTAGATTTGGAGAACCAACCCATGCTGGCAATTTTAAGTAGAGCAAAGCTCTGTGAAATCATGAATAAAGAAATAAAAGTGTCACAATTATAGTGTCAGAAGTATGACAGTCTTATTAAATTTAAAAAAGTCTATAACAAAAATCTGTTGTTCTTAAATTAAAAGCAGTATTTTAAACAATATTTTAAAATTTAAAACCAGATTTCTTACAATAGATTCATCCTTGAAGTGTTTTAGATAGAAGCAGGGAAAGATTTTTAATTTTAATGATATGCTTAAAATTAGTTTCTTTCAAGCGTAAAAGTTTATCAGCTTCAGTGTCCATATTGAGAGACTGCAATTGGAATGTCTGTAGTTTCTTTCAGACATGTAGTTTCTTTTATATAGTAGTATGTGAAAGTCATTGCCACAAATATCTTTTTATATTATTCCTCCTAAAAATTATATTATTAAATTATTTATAAATTATATTATAAATTATATTGAGTTTAAGATTTTTAATATAAAAGTTGTGAACTTTAATTTGTATTTATGTGATACCATTTCAGGGGAAGCAATAAATTAGAAGTACCTTAAAATACTTAAATCTTGCTTTATTCCCTAACTGATTTATGTAAATGACGTAGGAAAATATTAATGTTGACTATTAGGATGTCCACTGCCTACGTAGTGAACTCAGCAGCTTAACAAGCTAAAAGATACTGGGAAGAGACGAAAATGTACGAGCACCTCACATTTTCGATAACCTAGTTCTCCCATGAAGGATCACTTCACAGCCGAGTCATCACCGTAACAGAGATGATAGTAGACCTTTTGTCTTGGCTTCCTACAGTGTTCTTCAGCTCAAAAGTAAACTGTACTTCCCTCTGTAAAAGATGATTTTAAACTTTACATTATTCTAAAACACTACTCCTGTGTGAATTTAAGAAATAAACTACCTCTTCTAAAAACTTAAGCAAAATGCAACATAAATTTCAAGTGTTAGGAACTTAACAGTTAAATCCAGAAAATAGTACATTCGCTGACTTGTTTGGAGCATTGATTTCTTTTTTCCCTTTCTGTAAACTATTTTTGTGTTACAAGGTTGCAAGAAGAAAGATGAATAATATTTAACAGTTGACTTAATCTGTCCACTGAAGTTCCTATACTTAACACAGTAGAACTTTTTTTAAAGAGAAAATGATACAAAACTTCAAAACAAGATAGGAGAGTAACGATGATTAGTACATTGTTTATTGTTATCTTCACAGTAGTTGCTCAGAAACAGTAGAACTTTTTAGTGAACTGAGAAATATTCATTTCAGAAAATTAAAAAAACAATAAATGGATGTAAAAATTGCAGTAGTATGAAAAGATATAAAATAGAGGTCTCATAGCCTCCTCCCATCTCACCAAAATCTTCCCCCAAAATAACCACTGCTGTTTCTTATAATTCTTTCAGAAAAGAAATACGCATTTTCAAGCATGATCACATCCTTTGTTTTTAAATTTGTACAAAAAGTGTGCACACTATTCCTAGTGTGTGTGATAGTGGCTTGTAAAACATTGAACTAAACAAATCACTGACCACAACCAGAGAAAGAACAATTGTGTTTACTGCCATAACATACGACAAGAACTTGGTTTCAGAAATACTTGGCAGAGGTAGTTTAAGTTGACAGTTCTGTTTAACAGGAATCCAGTGCTGATTTTTTTGTTTTGAGTCTTGAAAATCCTTAAAAGTGGACCATTAAAGCTCCGAGATTTCAAAGTGCTTTAACACCAAAAGCTTGGAGACTATAGTATTGGAGTCACACATACTTCTTCTCTACTAATGAACACTACATAAATATAATGTGAGTGATAATAGAATTTCCATTTCTTTAGGTAATCTTTCCATATTTAATTCCTTTGCCATACATTCTAAGAAATGTATTTATTGAGTCAAGAGAATATTTCTAAGCCTTTTAATGCCTGTTGCCAGATTGTTCTCCAGAAACATTGTTTACTTTGTAATCAGTAAGTTATGATGGAGCATTTATTTTTCAAAACCCTTGCTATTTGAGGTAAATAATGTCATCACTGTTTGCTTCAACTTACATTATTTCCATTACCAGTAATATTTTGTTCCTTTTATTGCTGTGGTTTCTTCTTTTCTTTCAAATTATCTGTTCTAATCTATTGTCCATTTACTCACGGGACTCTCAACATTCTTTTGTCATAAGTCTTTAGATCTTTATATTATTAAACACAAACTCTTATGTAGATTATGTCATTTGGCAATCTAAGTGTTTTTTCTTCTATTTTTTTGTGTACAGATATTCTGTGATTTTCAAATTTAGAAAGTACTTGCCCCTATAGTTAAACACTCAGCTCCATTTTTTTACTATTTTGAAGGGAGAGTGAGGTGGGGCTTTATAGTCAATCTTAGGACACCTCTTACACAAACAAAATTGAGATTGTGCTTCACAGATGGGTTTATTATTTTTATCATGTTATAATCTCTTTTGAGTGTCTAGCAAATATTTACCTTTGTGTTCTCAGCACCCAGTATAGTATTTGTGTACATAGTAACCAAACTACAAAATAGGAATGATAATCATTCTTCAATAGTGGTACTGTTAATTATAACAAATGTTAGTTAATAATTAACATTAATGAGGCTGGCTTTAACTTTAAGCATACTATATAATCCTCATGACTGTAAAAGAAACCTTAAGAAAGCCCTGTGAGTAGTACGCTATTTTTTTCTTCATTTTACAGATTGAGAGTTGGTACAGAAAGTGGTTTAATAATTTTCCCACAGGCTTCTTCATAGGAAGTGATAGTATACACCAGGCTTTTGATTTCAAAGTCTTTACACTCTACCAAACCATTAAACTAAATGTTACCCCCTACTGCTAACCCATAGACATTTTCCTGTGCAGGCATTGGTGGTCTCAGGGTCTTTGTACAGCACTGGAGTTGATTACTGGATTTCATCACAGGAGAGCTTTGTAATACAGCTTTAGGTCTGGGTTGCCTCTAGCTGAGGCTACTAAAATACTCAGACTAAATCCTGGCTTAGCCTAGGACTGCTATATACACATTGCTTCCATTTCTCTCCAGCATTGTATTCTGAGGGGGATAGTGTCTGGCTGTGGTTTCAGTAGTAGTTCTTAAGATAATGTAATTCTGATCCACCTGCAAGTTCCTCTGTGCCAGTTTTAACAATCCATTGTCTTAAATCCTTTGGAATTTGTCTATACAACTTTTTTTAAAAAAGGTTTATTTTGGGACTGGATCATACGCTAGAGAAAAAGGGAAAATTATTATCTTTTTTAATGATAAAAACCTGTCAATCATACATGACTCCCGAGTCAGTGTTGACATTTGTTTGCAGCCTTGTTTTAAGTTCATGATCACTAACTGATTTGCATTTCAAAATACTGTGTGTTGAAAATGATAAGTTGGTTTGCATTTGTGCTTTCTTTTGCAAGGCTAATTCTTAATGTAAAAGATAATTCTCAGTTTAAAAGTCATAATCTTTTGATGTTTTGCAAGACAATCTGATGAGAAAAATGATCTTGAAGAGACTTAACTCATTTTTATGAGGAAGTCGTTTTCTAGCATTTGATCAGACTTTAAAAAGAGTTTGCTTTAGAGGAAAACGGGTATCAAAAGGATACATAATGATTGAAATCTGTTACAAGCAGTATTTTTCAGGTTAAAAATAAGTGATGACAGTTGTATAAAAGAAAGGGAAATCAGGCCTGAGATATGTAAAAATAAAACCATAAGGTTTGAAGAGAACAAAACATAAAGAAAAGTAAACTATTCTGAGTTTTAAAATATAAGATTATCATAAAAGATGAAGGATTGGGAAGGTGATAAAGACGGAAAACAAAAGATGAAAAGAACCATCATGTTGATCTAAATATGCTTTAAAATGCCCTTCACTAGGAATACTGTAGGTGGACCACCCCTGTGGAGTGCTTGTGGTCTTGTTAAGCGCTTTATTAGCACTTTTGTGTTGCATCATTGAAGGAAGCTTCATGGCAGGCCAAGCAGTGCCTTTGCCTGTAGAATAGAGTAACTAATGAATGAATGTTGAAAGTAATGGGAAATTACTTGAAATTTGTTTGTGATTTGCTTATGTTCTCATGAAGAGTATGTTAGAAGCATTTTTTGTAACTCATGATAAGAACTTAGGTTTCTTCAACCACAGCTTGTGAGCTATGTGTCTATATTTTGGCTGTGGACGCCGGACACTTATGTGTACGTGCCTGATAAATGTAGTAAATTTTGGCCTGATTTTAAAAGTAGAGAAGTATTTTTGTTCTTTGTGAAACCTGAAGTATATCTTTAATGCACTTGCGTTCTTTCTGTCTTACTCAGGGAAGCAGTGTTTCTTAGTCCTACGTCAGCAGCAGTTTAATGTCCAGGCTCTTGTTGCAGTGGGAGACCATGCAAGCAAGCAGATGGTTAAGTTTGCTGCCAAGTAAGTAAGCAATTATATCCTGTTGTCAGAATAAACAATGGTGGGAACCAAGACTCCCAAGGGTTTGGACCATTTTCATACATTAACATCAATGCTTCGTTTGTTTAAAAATGTAGTTATTTAAATTGTCAGTTTAGTGCTGCTGAATACATTAAACTTACAAAGGCGAAAATATGGAGCACAGGCTTAAAATTCATTTGGAACTGCTGAAGCAGCACTCTTTACAGACAAGTCACATTTACTTTCAAGTAGAGTAACAAAAAGCCTGGCAGCCTCAACATAGCAGAGCAACTTTATTTTGTTGTTTGTTGAGCTTCATTTCCTCCCTCCCTCCCCCAGTTTGAGATGTGTATGTAGAGCAACAGGTTTTTAAACTGAATAATAAAAGTACGTGAAAGAATGTAGTTTTTCAGATAATTTCCTCTAAAGAAAATAAAACATACCTTACAGTGTATTACAACTTTTAACCTTGCCAACAAAACAGTTTAGAGGGAATAAGGTAAAATTTTCTTTTCCCCCAGCTGTAAAGATCTTACGGTCTTGTTCAGAGTTCTTGCAGAAACATGCTGCTTTGTTCAGCTTGAAAAAGGCAAGATATAGATATAGATAGGGAAAAGGGGGTGGCTGTGCAGTGCATACTGTGGCTGTAAGGCTAGGAGAGTCATTCCCTTGGTAGTTGGTGACACAGCTAGTTTTGTGTATATGTTTTTCTCAATTGGAATTTTATTCCCACGACGATGATCAAAGAAACATGGGAAATGGATTTCTTTACTTTTTAAGTAATAAAGTATTTCGTAGTTAAAAATGTTTTTTAGATAAATCTAGACTAAATGTCCTATTTTTCTATTGAGTTTTTTTAAAAAAACATCTCTTCTTTATGTGTATGCTTTCAAAGATGGGTTATTATAGATAGAATTACGAACTCAGCAATTACAAAGAAACTATAAAACGCTCCAGTTTAATTTCCTAATATATGTTTGGGCACTTCCTGATTTTGGTTTAGAGATTTATCAAATTCAGTTTTGTTATTTCATAATAGTACCTGAACTCATGTTAAAAAATTTTGAATTGTATCAGCTCATTGATCAATTCAGTATTTTTAGTACTACTAGTACAGTAGTCTACCTCTCCATTTCTCCTAGTCCTCCACCTCAGAAATAGCCACTTCGTGTCGTCTGCCTGTGTCTTCTGGTACTTTGCTTGTTTTCATTTCATAGGTAGTGTGCTTATGAAATACATTGGTCGTACGGCCTTTTAAGGTCAGTGTTTATCCTATGAATTAGGACGTAAATGAGCTTGGTATCTAGAAATAAACTACCTATACAGAGAGCCTTCTATGAAAAGAAAAAAGGAAAATGGAATTGTAATTCTGTGGTGGAACACTTGCCTAATCTTTGGGCTCCAGGCTCAATCCCAGCACCGCTACCAAAAAAACCAAAAAAAACTCACAGGTACATATGCTAAATTATATTTAATATACTGAAAAATATTTGAAAAAAGTCAACCCCAAACAGTCGTTACAATTTTTGTCTTTTATATATCAATTTAGTTCTGTAAACTAATACTGTATGTGAACCTGACAGTTTAATAGAGAATATGTTTTTTCTTTAAATTGCATTATAATCTCAGCATTACAGTCCTTAAAAAACTTCTAGTGTACAAGTCTTTTGATTGTTACAGCCAACAGCAGGTGGCACATGACAGTTACCTCAGCTACTGAAGACACTGAATATCACAAGTTCAAGTCCAGCCTGAGCAACTGAATGAGACTCTGGCTCAACAAAAACAGGGCTAGAGGTGTAGTTCACTGATAGAGTACTAGCTATCATAGACAAGCCCGTGGGTTCAGTCCTCAGTACTGGAAAAAGTACAACAAAGTCCCATATACCCTTAAGATTCACTGAGAGGCACTGTACTAACAAGAGGACAGTCAATCCTTGTGATGTCTTTAGAAGGTACATTGTAGTCGTCCACAAATAAGCTATTCTCGTTATTTTGGATCTTCTCCAAAATTCCTGTGACTTGACTAACAACCAAAATAGCCACCAAAATTTACTAGCTGGAATAACTAGTAGCAAATGATCACCAAAAAGAACTTAATTTACTAATGTTTTCACAATATATTTTTTAAAGAAAAGCCAGGCTTTCATTCAAATGGAATGATATGAGGTTGAATTTTCAGACAAAGGAAAAATTAGTCTTTTGATTTCATAATTTCTAAAGTGGAACTTAATCAAGACCTAGGTAATTCAGATCTAACAATTAAATTATAATTTAGGGTTCTTTTTAAAGGAACATGTAGCTGTTTTTAGTCCCTTAAAACTCAGACTTTATATAGTTAGTATTGTGTGGGAAAGGGTTGAGCTATTAGAAATCGTAAAGCCTTTGGTTATAAGTGAATGGAGCCAATTTTATGCAATAGGTTTAACATGTGGTACTTAGATTTTAATTGTATAACTCCTGGCACTAATATGCTAAGGGAATCAAGCCAGGGCAATTAAAAGTAGGTGTGTTAATACCTTTTGTTACCTTACGAAAAGAGAAGATTCTCGTGACTGAATAGTGTGTTTCATTTAAAATGGGTGCTCATTGGCTTCACCGGTGAAATTAAAGATTAAGGTAGCTTTCATACATTTCACTTTGAGATGACATGCTCTGACAGTATTCTTCAGTGACCTGGCAGTTCTATAAAAGAAGACTATGAGGCGTGAGTTTTTTTGTTGAATAATAGTAAAAAGAAATTCTTTAAATATAAATAGATGAATAATAAGAATTTTTACTAACTACTATAGTCTGTGTTCACTTATACTATATTTCAAAAACGTTACTTGTTTTTAAGCATGGAGGATAATCCAGTTTTCACATATGGCAACAATGACAATAATATTCTTCTACAATAGTACTCTTCACAAAAACATTTGAGAGTAAAGCCTGCTATGTGTCTCTGCAAATAACATATTTGGCTTAAAAAATTTTTGTAGTGTTCTTTATGATTTTCGCCACACATAATTTAAGTTAGAACAAAATAGTCCAGTTGTTAATCAACTAATATTTGGAGGAATACATGTTCTTTCTGCACCGTCTTTACACTGACACTGTACCTGCCAAAAGTCTCTTCCAGTGCTAGTTTTTTGTACTGTTTAATGGCTTTTTGTTTCTAACCATACCCAATGTTCTGCCTGCTGGTTCCCTCTCTACGCTGTTACTTCCCACTACTTCTGCGTATGCACTCTGGATTGAGCAGACTTTCCATACCTGCAGTGACTTCTCTTCTGACTTTACTTCATATTTTAACTACAGCATTTTCTTATACCCATGTCCTTCATGATCATTATTGATTGATTTCTCTATTCATTTCTTAAGGATCCAAATACATATTCTTAGGGGGATGGAAATTTTCTGTGTATACTTCTAAAATTTTAGTCTGTTTTGATGATAATCCTAAAAATATATAAGGATATTATCCATATCATCTTAAAGGCCAATTTATAGCTGAGAGCTGCCTTGTGACTCAGAGTTTCCATTAGCACTTACCGTTATATTTATAATTGTGTTCATGCCATTTGAAGCCAAATGATATCTGTTTCTATATAAATGAAGGCTTCAGAGCAGCTTAAATAGAGACTGAAGTTGGGTTGCTGGGTTTAATTACTAGTACAGAGACATACTGAACTCAGAAAATGTGTACCATTCAAGCCAGACGTTTTGAATTCTATTTTTGTCTCTACAGAGTCAGCAGATCACTAATAGTATAGTAGTTTCCATGCAAGCAAAAATGTTTTTCTTTCCACTGTCAGTGTTTTCACAGTAGACCTTTGATGCAAATTTTAGTTAGCAGTGCTACATTATTAATTTTCTCATGAACAGCATAGTTTTATAAAATGATCAACTGGCCGGGAGTGGTGGCACACGCCTGTAATCCCAGCACTCGGGAGGCTGAGGCAGGTAGATCGTTGCGAGTTTGAGACCAGCCTGGGCTACAAAGTGAGTTCAAGGCTAGCCTGAACTGCATAATGAGACCCTGTCTCAAAAAAAACAAAAAAATAAAATAAAATAAAATAAAATAAAATAAAATGATGAACTGAGGGGCTGGGGATTTAGCTCAGCAGCAAAAGCGCCTGCCTGGCAAGCACAAGGTCGTGAGTTCGGTTCCCGGTACCGGAGAAAAACCAAAAAAAAAAAAAAAAAATGATGAACTGATACATTAAATTGCCATTTTGGATTATTTAGAGACATTTGCTTAATTAGACCATATCATTCTGAACCATTTTCAAAGTTAATGTTTTATGTAATTATGAACAAGCATTCTTTACTATCATTAAGTCAAATACAGAAACACAAAATATAGAACTGGCATGGAGGCTATAACTTAATATAGTAAAGCAAATGTCAGCAATTTAGTTTTAGTAAAACTTTAGTATTGTGGATTTTAGTTTTTTTAAGTTTTCTCTAAAAATTCATTGTATTTTAAAGTTATGAGCTATAATTATTACACATATATATCAATTTTGTCCTTCAAGGTGTTTTTTTATTTGAAAGAGAAGAGACAACACAATAACAACGAAGATAAAAACAAAACAACACAAAAACAATAAAAACAATACAGAATTTCAAAACAAGATGATAGGAAATTAACACTGGTTGTTACATTGTATATTGTTATCTTCAACAAAGTTGCTCAGATTACCAAATATAAGCCAGATATTACGAGATTACCAGATACTTAATTGATCAAACAATTAAAGAGAATAAAAAATAATAATAAAAGAATTAGAAATGATACAGTTTCACTAATCAAGATGGTAGGAATTCAACAATGATCTTCAAATTAGTTGTTCAGATTACCAGATACAGGCATGCAAATTGGTTTTAAAAAAAAGTTTAAGCATTAAGTTCCTTTCGGTTAACCAGTAGACATCAGCAGTTCAGTTGTCCCAGCTATCCTTGTAGATACATATATTTTTCCCTTCTTTCTTTTCTCCTTTCCCTCATCCCAGTTG